TCTTTTATTTTTGACAACCATAGAGATCTTATTAATGTGTGTGTGATATACCATAGAAAACAAAGATTTAAAACATTGTCTTTGAGTATGTACTTGACGTGATCTCACAACCACCTCAGCCCCACCATGGCTGGGGCTGAGGTGAGAAAATTTGAGGAAATAGTACCTCTCGAGATGGCCGGAAATGACTTATATAGTAAAATTCATCATCATCACATCACCATTATAGTCAAAATTAAACTCCAATAATTTTCTGATTATCTTTCATCGGGAATCTACTTAATACCGGTATCCAGTATCGGTATCTATATATACTATATTATGATCAACTTTTTTTCGCATTAAGCACAATTTTCTTCACTTTTTATTGCTATTAATATTATTATCAATTATTACTATCGTCGTCATCATCATCATCATTGTTATTATAATTATTATTATTACTATTAGTAGTAGTATTATTAAACAAAAATTTAAAGAAACTTGCAAAAGGATAAAAACGAAATTAAACCACAGTATTGCATTTCTATCTTAAAAGACCTGGTCTGAGGTTTATGGATTTAAGATTTTTTTAAATCAAGCTTAGGTCTATGTGTTCTATTTGGCCTATATAATATAATGTGTACTGATGCATATTTACATGTTATAGAAGTATTCACTTTGAGTGATCCCAGGAAAGAATTTGTATTGGCTCAAGAATAAGCTTTAGAATTTTAACACTGTGTACAAAAGAGGGGAGCCCCGGCTCCCACGGCTCCCACCCCCCACTCCAGATACGTCCCTGTCGTTACTTCTGTATTTTGCACAAGATATGTACTATAGTACATATTTTGTGTAAAATACACATGAAGTAGGTAAAGTGAATTAAAAATACAATTGAGTTATATTTTTAATGGAACATCACAGCGATTAATTACTGGTTCCTAAAAATAAATCTAAACATTGAGCACTTTATTTGATACTACAGATGACAGAAAATATCAATGGTACAAAGGCAGAAAATGTAAATTTGCTGACAAATACTTAATAGTTATAAGTTTATAAGAGATGATTATTGCATAGAAGAAACCTAAATACTCTATATTTAGTATCTGATATGTTTAATAGTTAAATTTGCTACTATACTCACGGAAGTGTCAATGCCCCTCATTTACATCATAATTTAAAGAAAATAAATTCCAATTATTTGGATATTCTTATCTCTATGTGTTAGGCAGACAATTGGTGACAATGAAAAAAATACAAAACAAACAAAGTTTAAAATTTGTTTTTAAAATGACAGAGGAAAATTAAATGCAATACCGATTGAAAAAGAATTCACTAATTGACAGATCCTATGCAAAGAAATACTTAATAAACACAGGAACAGCACTTTAAAACAAATGACATATATTCTAATTATTCACATTTATCAGTCTTATGGTCATACAGTTAAATTATTGCATATTTAGGTCTGACAATAAGATTCAAACATTA